AAAAAATATTTTGCTTTCAGTGACGATATACCGACTCAAGCAACCAGCAGATACTTTGGTAAAAATGATGTCCCATGTATCCTATGCATAACGCATCTCGCAAATGTACCTAACCTCATTTGAACTGTGTTGCTCGTCCTGCAGGCCATATTTGTCTTTTCGAATTTCAAATAGTGTGCGTTTTTCCCCACCTCATTCTCGTCACGCCGGAAGCGACGTTCCCTTTTGTAGTTTGTAGTTCGTATTTAATTATTACAGCGACCCGACCAGGGCGCTGTCAAAGGTTCGTCTGGAACATAATGGAGGGTTAGGCACGGTCCGGGCACGGTACTGGGGTTTTGGGACAGAAATTACCCAACTTTTAGACGACGCGTTATAGAGACGGAGAAATTTCACGTCTTCTGTTTTAACTCACTTCACTCATTTACGCGTTCTAACCGCTACAGTGAGACCAGCCTAAGGTCCGTCTTTTCACAGCACGGGTAGCATAGGAGTTTGCAGGCGAGAAGGGGTGAGGAAAAGACGGACCTTAGGCTCGTCTGGCTATATTCTTCTTCCTCCGTTGGCCGAAATACACTATCAAAAAGCAGTCAATTTCCCGCCGTGATACACCGATTGTGCGGGGGGCAGGATACTTTTTCGCGACGGATGTACGTTTCGCTGTGCGCACTCGGCGGAACACGTGCTTGCAGGTCGTGATCAGAATGACTCAGGCAGGGTATCATACGTCCGTGAGGCAATCTCTAGCCGGCTAATGCCGATAGCCTCCGTCCACTCCGTCGCATGTTCGTACTCGGCGGCGGCGTGGCCGGCTAGACGACTGGCCCTGAGTCCTGCGCGTAACCGCCCTGCACCGGACGGCGCCGGCACCGGCCTGGAGCAGAACCGGAACGTACTTGCAGGGCGCGCGGTGAGCGGTGCAGTGCGGCGGGCACCTGTCCCGCGAGGGCGCGTGCGCTCGCGGCCGTGGCGCCCGAGCCAAGTCCCATATGAGACAGTTTGAGTTAATTGTCTGCAGTGCAGATAAACTTTTCGTGGTGGGGAAGCAGAGGTGCATTGTTATTTTTATTTTCAAGTGGCGTGGTGGGCCAGTAAAGTTATTTTCGGCGAACTGCAATCCAGACTATGCAATCCGTGAATTGTAATCTAAAGTTTGGTCTGTCGTGATGCTGTGTGTGCGAATAATAACGCATGGTATACCATCGATAGCGGTTGTGCCACCCGATTGCATTTATCGGGTGCTGCTGGGCGGCGCGGTGAGGCGCCACGCCTCGACGAGCTCCGCGTTTATCCGCTTTCGATAACGCGGGATGAATGGGAGTCAATGACACGGTGCGGTGACGGGGCGGGGCGGGGTATCGTGCACCCGCATCGGCTGCATGTGTCTGCCCTGCCCCCCTCGGGCGGGCTTGCTCGGCCCATCACACCACCGTATCGCACGCCGCTTTGTCTGGTTACGTTTTTCAGATAAGCAAAGTCGCGCTGCCCAACTTATCCTCCTCTGCGGCCCGCGCCATTAGCAGCCCGCCCCCTGCCTACTCTGACACTAACACCCTCGTCTCATCATTTATGTTCCAGGGCGTGCTCAACCCGCTCTCCTCGACGATCCTGGCGGACGAGCAGAATGCGACCGAGGCGCCTCGTCGAGACGGGCTCAACGGGGATGGAGACGGCAGAAATTGATGGGCGTACGCGGCGATACCGAGTGAAGTTTGTCGCTCTCTTTTTGTTTCACCTCCATTATCATCCAAAAAAAGTCGGCACTATCATATGAGTTGGTCTAATTATTTTTTGTGACGTGATTCGCTTGCATGCATTCGTATCAAGTTCGCGAGATGAAGCAGCCTGCCTTCACCTCCACTCGCGCGGCAGGCGGCAGACCATTATACTGCCGTGCGCGATGGGTTGCCTGCGCCGGCCTCGGCGGGCGCTCGCTGGCACGCTCCGAGCACTCCGCCTGCTTCGCCGAGCCACGGCTGCGCCTGCGTACCGCCTGGTGGCGGCCCCGGGGCGGCCACCCCTCCTGCAGCCCGGCGCGGCGTGCGGCCCAGCCTCTGGTGGACGGGCGAGGCCCTCGT